TTTTCCGGATGGGACAACAGATCGTCCACGAGACGCTCCCTCAATTCCTGCGGAGATCCAACCGATAATGCCGACACGGGAAGCACGGCACACAACGCGTGCAGACTCTCGAAGAGCGAGTCGCCTCCTCCTCTCACCTCGGTCAAAACCTGCAGACCACCGGGCAAATAGCCAGGATCAAACTGCGATACTTCACCACGCTGGACATTAAAAGGGTCATAGAGACGAGACAATGCATCCGCGGCCCCGTTCTCCCGACCAGGAGTATAGCGGATCACATAGTCATAATCCGCCAAGTTCTCCAATGTCCGAGCCAGCCGCGAGTCTATGATCCTCATATTCTGCAAGTAGACCAACGGCTGGTGATCAGAGTGAATGATGAACCTCACCCCAACCAGGAACGGTCGGAACGTCTTCACTCCCCATCTGAGCGCGGCGAGCTCACGTTCAAGGGTACTGTACCTCGCTTCGGCCGACGAGAAGGTAGTGGAGGCGTATGCAATGACCCTTACGCTGCTCCCTTGTTGCTGAGCGAGACAAGCCCCAGCTCCACAACCCGAAGCGTCAACAAACAGCTCCAGCGGTTCAGCGTCCTCGCTGTAGTCGGGATACGCCAACTGCACGTCAGCACGGAGCTGGTCCTTCAAGGCTTCAAACGCCGCGTCCATCTCGTCACTCCAACGCAGCTTACGTCCGCCGCGGCCAGATGTTTGCTCACTTAGGGGCTTCTGGATGATTGAGAAATTGGGCACAAACTTCCTCTGAAAGTTTGCCAACCCAAAAACTCCCGTAACTGACGGACCGTGGTGGGCCGAGGAATGGCATCGATCTTTTCCACAAAGCTAGGCGGTTTCCTTAGCCCAGCGGCCGACACGAGGTGACCCAGGTACTCCACCTCAGCAGCAAACCACGTGCACTTGCTCATTTTAACCTTAACTCCATGGCTAGCGAGCGTGCCCAAGACCTTATTTACGAGCTCCAGGTGTTCCTCAAACGTTCGACTCATAATCAATACATCGTCTATATAGACGATTACATTCCGCCACGAAAACTCACTTAGAATAGACTGCATCTCTCGCTGGAACGCCGCTGGGGCATTTTTGAGACCGAAACTCAGACGCTTAAACTGCCAATGTCTACGTGGCGTAGAAAATGCGGTGAACTCCCTAGAGGACTCGTGGAGTGGTAACTGGTAATAACCTCTTACAAGGTCAAGACTAGAGAAATATTTGACGCCGTGGAGGCTAAACACGGCGTCGTTGATGTTTGGTAGGGGGAACCGCTCGGCTTTGGTAACCTCGTTCAACTTCCGGTAATCTACACAAAGCCGTATCTTTCCATCCTTCTTCCGTATGGGGACCACGGGGGCAGACCAATCCTACGTGCTCGGCTCTATTATGTCAAGAAGATGTAGCTCACTGCACTGCGCTTCAATTTCCAGGTTAACCGGCTCCGGGAAGCGGCGGGGTTTTTGGTAGATGGGGGTAGGATCAGTAAGTTCAATTTTGTGAGCAACCGTCCCAAATTTGCCCACGTCATCGTCACTAACACTGAAAACTGTTTTGTGTTGCTCCAGAAGGCGAGAAACCTCGGCCCTTTGACCGGAAGAAAGAACTTCACTAAGGCCGTCAATAACGAACTCCTCCTCTCGCTCTCCACCCCCCCGGGGTGGTAAATGTAGCCCCACAACCATCGCCTGAAGACCGGCATTGGCCGGGATCTCCATCAACGACGACAACGTTCCCAACATCCTACCCTCCTTAACGCATACCGGCACGTTAGTCCGGTTCTCCACAAGAAGACGAGCCCCCGATGCCACTTCCAGGATCCCCGCAACGCAGCGCAGGGATTGCCCGCTCACTGCGTCTTCAAAATAATACGTGCCAGTCACTGCGTTGCATTCCGCCAGGTCAGGGGAACGGAAGGCGGTTTCTACATTGAAATGGACGCAGGCGACCGCCCTCGTAGGAACCGTGAATCCATCTGCGGCTCGACACGGCAAACCATCCCACCTGACCCCTGAAACCTCCCCAGACCTAGCAAACGATACACGTACTCGGGCCCCGTCGCCGAAGTGCTGACATAACTCTCGGCGAAAGACGTCCACTTCGATATTATTGGCCACCAAAAATTCCGCCGACAAAATCAGGGGCACGTCACTCCGGCGCGAAGACATGGCAGCACGAACATCAACATGGGCAAGCTTCAGCCCAGTGACTCGCACGCTTAGTGACCCGCGGCCGACAATCCTCATCTGGCTGTTGATACCAAATCCTTGAACAACTTCGCCCACTGTGCCCCCAAGAGATATCCCAGTCTCTTCGAGCCACTTGGTACTTACCAAACTCCCTGCCGCCCCTGTATCAATCAGTGCTCGGCAAGGGACTCCATTGACGGTGGTCATAATTATTAAACGTTTGTCATCGCTATTGGTTATCACCAAATCAACGCCAACTCGAGATGTCTCCGAGGTGCCTTCCCGCATGCACCGACCCCGATCACTTGAAGGCACAAGTCTGGCACCACAGCGGCCGAGGGCATCCCCGCCATCACTGCCGGACGATCTGTCCCCGCTACACTCCGAGCGCAGGCGTTCTCCATTTCTACCACAATCCCTCGCTGAAGGCTCAGCAACATGCTCTCGAGGCAAATCCGCAATCAAAGTTGCATCCATAGTTGAAACAGGTCTCGTGTCGCTGTCATCACCACTGCCTAGGCACGCCCCCCGCGAGCGAGGTCGAGCTGGCGTGGGGCGCGTAGTTGCGGAGCTAGAAGGCATTCCCCTCATGTGCCGCTCCTCGCACTGAGGGCGAACTAGTTTAACGGGATAGCCTCCGTTTCTGTGCAGTGTTTTCCCAAGTGGGGACCACCGCACCGAGAGCACGTCGGGGTTCGACGAGGGCAACGTTCCCGCTGGTGCTGCGGACTGCCACAGCCTTGGCAACAGCCCCTCTTTTCCCAGCAGGTGTCCTCGATATGGCCTGGCCTACCGCACCAATCGCATAACGCCTGGCGATGCGGGAATCGATCGTCTCGCGGCGGGCTGCGTTGGAACTTAGAATTGTAGTAGGTGCTGGGTGCCCCAGGCGTAGGGCGTTTCGGGGTTGCGCCAGTCGGATCCACGTGCTTAGCACTCACATGGGATATCCCACCAGTACGCTCCCGAGACCACTCGTTGAAAGCATTGACCTCCATCGCGCTGCGGCATTCCTGTGATTGCCCATGCCGATTCTCAAATCGACGCTGTCGATCCTCCGATGCAGCCAGCTGCTTGATGTTCTGCCAGGTCAGCTTGCGTTTACCCGTTGCCAGCAAGACGCCGCGCTGTGATTCCGACATTACCTGACGAAAACCGGATGGGGAGGCAGTCCAAAATTTACGAACGAGGCGCCGCTCCTGCTCACGAACCGAATCCGGGTACGCTCGTCTAACAATCCGTTCCATTCGCAAAGCGAAGATGGCTAGGCTATCCCCCTGCTGCAAATGAGCTCGCTCAAATTCCTCTTCTGCCTGACGCTGCGAACTGATTCGTTCGCCGCGATACCACTCCAAGAGACGAGGACGCAGTTCTCTATAACGAATGTTCGTCCCATCCATCGCGTCGTATGCGCGCCTGGCCGGTCCGCAAAGGAACCTTCCCAGCTCCTTCGCGCGCTGTCTGTCTGTACCTTTGAATTTGGCCCCAAAGTAAGCGTCAAACTCGTCGAGAAACTTTCTGAGTGACGAACCGTCACTGCCATCAAACCGGCCTGGCACCACCACATCTCTGGCCAAGCTCAGGCTTCCCAAGATCTCGGTGAGGCGCTTCCCTACATCACGATCCTTTGGTTCCTTGTAGGAGTCGCAAGACGTCGCCGAGTGAATAGACCTCTCCGAGCTCGAAGCGGAGGATGAACTACGCCCATATGGTAAACACTGGAGGCAGTCGGCTTCTTCCAACGGTGCACGTCCACGGTACACCCCTGAACAAACGCCTGAGAGGAACACGGTCGGTTCTCAAGCCTACGCCACACCAGAAAAGGCCCTCCCACCTGGGAAGCAGAATATCCTATTAAATCTCCCAGGCAACAATATGAAAAATCCCACTTCACAGTCCAATAAACTTCATATAAATTCTGAACCGGCAATAATAACAGCGTCTATGTAAGACTTCTACACACAAGCCGAGCCCAACCGGCAATCACAACAGGACACTAACACCTTCTCACCTCATCCACGGAAGCCAACGAACCAAATGGCCAGCCTAAAACCGCTCAGCCCGCTCGTGACCTCGCGGCAGATTCGTTTAGAGAACACCTGCGTGTCAAACCTCTATAACACCAACTGTACTGATGTAATGAATAGTAATTGTATTTGTCGTAATCATACATATTGACATGAAGAGCATTAAAAACGGCTTGTATTTCAGTAGACAAGCGGTTAATTGGGGAGAAATTTACTCTTATCCTGGTCAATGAAGATGAGCTAACAATCTCCGGATAATTCGAATGAGCTTATCATACAAGCGGAGGGTATATTGAAGCAATCAATTAAAAATTGCTCGTAAATAATATTGATCTTTCTTAAATGGAGTCAATTTCTTCAGAATTGAGTGTTCCCGTAGTTAAGTCAATAGTTAATTATTCAAATGCAAGACCTCCTTTTTCTGAATTGAATGGCTAATTGCTTCGAATGTTAGGGTTCATTGTGATCAAATAGATGGTTGCCGTTGATAAACTTATAAACTTGAGTCTAATATAACAGGCAGCAGGAGGTTCCAACCAGCACCTCGGGGCAGTGGCAGGACCAAGCGGCGTGGCTGCTGTTAGCAACGGCCTTAACAACAATAATTCTTTGGCTGTACCGCTCCAAGTGCAAGTAAGTCTTCGTCAGGCACAAGTGGCCAAATAAAGGTATTGGTGCAAATAATACTCACGTTCTCACCACACAAGAAAAGAAAAAAATTTTCATTTGTACTGTGTTTAATAGTACGATTGATAATTTTGTTTATGCAGGTGCATTGCGCAGCAAATTCGTCTTGCTTGAGTGGTGCAGGAGTGACGTTGGAGGTTCCCAGTGAACAGTACCGCTGCCTCTCACCGATCACAGAACTCCCTTCACCCATGCCCACACCGATGCCTTCTCCTCTGCCTACTCCAAGTAAACAAAGGCAAACTCAGCTGCGTACCAACAGCACTGAATCGTCAAACATGGAAAACACCGCAGATGAAACTGAATCTGAAGCCAGCGTTACAATTGAACGGACAAGTTCTGGTGCCTCAATTTCAGACTCACGAATTTTCTTCCAAGCTTTCGGTGAAAACAATAAAGAAAAACACAAAAATTGTTTGCCACTAATCGTTCCAAAACTAATTTTAAACTTACCTTCGCCTGGAACTTCACCAGCTGGATCCCCAGCCTCTTCTCCGAAGGTAAAAACTCGTCCTCCTCCATTGATATTATCAGATTCTAATTTCATTGACATGCCGAACCTTGTGCCTGTCATAAATGTCCATAATGAGAATGGCGAGATGCTGGAGCGGTTTGACTCTACGCCTCGTCAGCGTTCACAAAGCCTTGACGTGGGAAGTGTCATGAAGATACCATCAATTACAATTACTATGGCCAGTGAGTCCCCAACAATTACAAGAAAAAATAGTACGAACCATTCATTTCAACCTCCAGTTTTCACAATTACTTCCGCTTCTCCTAAACTTGATAGGAGAAATTCAAATCCTTTTGGAACCTTGGAAAACATGGAGTCTAGTTCTGGACCAATCGTTAACACAGTTCATGTACCATTTGTTACCACGAAGAAGAGAGGCTTGAGAGATGGTCAAAATTACCTGGGCTATCAAGATTTTCCGTCAATTGGAACACCTTCATCAATTCTTGATTCGGATCCCGAGTCACCTAACCGACGTCTGACTGGACCTTCTCCTAATTTGCTCTCTCCGTTTTTCGGAGCCGCCGGCTCACACATGACCTCGGAATCAAATCTAAGTTCTTCTGGTTATTCATCGGCGTATTCACCGGGCCCATCCAGATGTAATTCGAACAACCCACTTTTTTCTACTGAAACCGATGACTCAATGACGCATTCTCTTTCTTCAATACCTTCTTGTCCAATGGCTTCACTGGCTGGCGATCAAAATACAAGAACTGGATCCACCGCAACTACTTCACCGTCCCAATCAAACACTCCTACAAAAATGCCAGCAATTATTCTTCCCTCCATCATAGTTGAATCTACGCTTGGAATGACAGATTCTGAGACCACGGATGAACCGCAAACTTCTCAGCCAGACTCGGCTCTGGACGTTGACACCAATGATGAACCGGAATCGGATGGACCAAGCGAATCGCATAGTGTGAAAGAGAGAACGAATCTGGGGACTGATATGAGCGTTCGACGACAAATAAATATCCTGATTTCCTCACATTCTTTCCCGGGAGAAGCCCCTCGACTGCACACCTGCCCTCCAACGATCGTTGTGCACGGATCTCTGCAAAACGAGTCCTCACTTGAAGATTATATGACAGACAATGCATTAAAGCCATCTCCAGTTAGTAGTAGAAGTGAGTCGCCTACCAGTGATAGTCGACTGACTGTAAATCAGATCCGCACATCATTTTTCAACAAAAGCGGTAGAAGAGAACTCCCCCATACTGACTCAGATGGCTTGTATGATTTTCCAAGCACTGAGGCGCTGAATTTCAACTGTCACAGAAGTCAACCCAACTTAAAGAGACCTGGACACAGAAAAACACGAAAGTCAAGTAATAAATCAAGAGCAAGGCATCAAATTAGACAATCTGAAAATGATAATAACTGTTTTGGGTCCAACCGTGACGCAATTGTTTCTTTGGAACCTCCTTCGCAGCGACGTTCAAGAATATTAGGTCCAAAAAGAAGAGCAAGAGCCCGTAGAAGCATCGACCTCTTATCATCTTCTGATGAAAGTATTCCCTCTCCAAGGTAAATATGACATTTTATGGGGTTTTCCAGCTATTATAAGAGTTAGCATTCTAAAATAATCTTCCGATTTCATGTTATAAAAACTCCGCCGATGCAAATAATTTCTTCCAATTTCTTGAATTGTTGTCATTATGAAATTGGATGTGTAATTTAATTGAACATACATGCAACGATTTAGGGAGAATAAAAATATTAAATTAAATTATATTTTTAATAGTTATATTTATCATGCACCTCACTAATTAATGTATATCTTTTTCTGCGTACACTTCAGTGTCGACGCGCATCACTGCCTTCAACAGAAAGCAGGCGAAGAATCAACTTCGTCTCAGATTACACTATATGCTCACTGCGATCTAGAGACTACTTCAGATTCGACCAAAATATTAGCAAAGTCTCTAACTCCAGAGAGAGGAATTGTCTCTTCAAACTCTGATTCCACGATAATAGAGCAGACAGTCTCTTATAGAATCGAATCGTACGAAGACGGTGAGAATTCAATAGCAAACACGCACTTAACGGTAGCTGCAGTAGCTTCTGGGTCGCGAGCAGAAACTTTAAATCCGTATTCCAAATGTAGCGACCCAAGTACTCACGAAAGTAACACGAGTTTCAAAGTAAAAAATAGAAAGACGCTGACTCGCTCCGATGGCGTTGCCACCAGTACTTTGACGCGACAGAACTCAGTTGACACCTCTGAAGATGAAACACAAGAGGTGGGAAAGATGTCTGCGAATTCCTTTACGATGATTCTAATGAAATAAATGTTACATACAGCCCAAAAAGCCCCAAAAGTTACTAAAAAAATAGAGCAAATGCAAAAAAGTAAAGAATTTTTTTCGCGTGAAGGTTTGCATCCATTCCATAGACTGAAGTCATCCAGTTTCGCAGTAAACTCCTCAGCAAAAGGCAACATAATAAACTCTGATGAGAGAATATATAAATTGAGTAACAAAAACCTGTCAATCGTCTAATGTTTCTGTCTATAACAGGACCGTAGCTCGTGTGACACGAGCAAAAAGGAGCTCGATCCTCAACACAGGAAATCTTTCAAGCTTCGCGCTCCAAAAAATGAGATGAGGTAAAAAATAATTGACGCATGTGGAGAGTATGTATAACTGTAGATCGCTCAACATTTCTGCAAAGTAAATTAACAGCATGTGCATTATTTCAAATGGTTAATTGCCTAAACTGTATAGTTATTGTTCTGTACATACTCGTTTAATACATACTCGTGCTGCTCTTCCTTCGAAATGTTTAAGTGAACGATATGAAAACAAAATGTTGAATTAATTTTACGGAAATGTTTATAATAAAGCCAACTATGAATAGAACTTGATAAAAATTGACTAAAGATTGATGAATTTACATAGCTTCTATTCGTTTCCAGCGATCTTCAATTTGTTGAAGATTTGTATATATTAAAAGCTTAAACAGTTGATAAAACTTATTACTACCGCAGATTATTCCGCCGCTTTTCGTCAACTTCTTTGAACTCTCCGCGTAGACAAGTCGCACCCAGCGGTGCGTCGAACTCCGATCCGGATTCAGAGTTCACCCTAGCTGCTGCGGATCCGGATCACCGAATTGAGTTCGTTTCCAGACCGAGATCAAACTGAGAACGCCATGTATGATTGTGCTGACATGAATTTATCGAACCTATCTTTCCATTCCACTAAAAAGTTGAGGTCGCGTGGTCTGTGGTTTGATGTTCTACTGATGCACCGTGAGTAATATGCGGATGAATCGTTGAGGCATCGGAGGCAAAGTCTGCCCTACGTCTAGTCGGAAATAAAAACTATTTTAGGACGTATATCTTCGAAATTATATTAACTCTTTTCTCACTTATTGATGATTTGGACACATTCATGCACTACTGTTCGCCTATTCAGTATTGCAAAATCAGCGTCCAGGAGCGAGAATTTTTACATATATGACATTTATGCCATCACTTGAGCATAAGACACTATTGTGCCCTCACATATACCTACATGACATTTATGCCCTCACTTGTTCACACATGACATTCATGCCCTCACATATTCTAACATGACATTTATGCCTTCACATATTAATGACCATTAGTGGCGAGGTGCACTGCTCAGATTTGAAGCGCAAGTGCGGGTTCAAGCCTCAGCAGGCTGTTGGTATTCTGCAATGCAAAGGGTGGCATCTAGTGTTGTTACCGCGTTATCTTTGCCGTGCTGTCCTAAACGAATCTCATGAACAGCAGTTACTTTGAATGACCAGACAGCGTCGCCAAGTTCGCAACATTTTCACGTCAGTTCAAACTTTATGTCCGATCATTCGTACTTTTGCATTCATCGTCCTACAATGCAGACGATAATAAGCAAGTAGTTCATTCATATGCTTGCACGAGCGCAGGAATTTCTAGCAATACATTCTGGTGAGCAGTAAATCTTGCAACACAATTCAGTGCCGACTGCCTCCTTATTCCTATGCGTGGGAGAGATCGCTTGCACAGATGTGAGCGCAAGCATTAACAGTTACGGTATTACTGCGTAAACATACGAGTATTATAATTTCCCATATAAAAATTACCTTAAATTTATTTGAGTGTTTCGACCACAACTGACATCGTCAAATTCTTTTTCTAGGCCTGACGGCACAAACAGACCTCGGATTGGACTCGAGTTTCTTCTCCACATGGAGACATAACATAACCTCGTCTATTGGATATGTTCTTGATAAATGCTGTATAGTTCTGGCACAACTAATGATTTTGTATCCAGCTCATTTGAAATACGGAGCTAAAATGAATTGTAGATACAGGCTTTTGCATGAAATCTTGCATTATTTTCATGGTTCACACGTTTTAAGTTCAGCTCGCGTGAGGAGTAAGTAATTTGTTGCTAAATGTAATCTGGATTATTTGTTTAGGAAATTTTCTACTTCCACGAAATATACTACAGAGAGAATGGGCAGTGGCGTACCTCAACTAAAAAGTTTTCTTTGATCGAGAACTTAGAATAGATTGTAATCTTGTTCCTTCTCATGGGATGCTGTAAATATTTGTTGAATGATGTTTGTTTTACGTTTTACATTTAGTTGCTCGCTTCTCGCCTTTAATTGGCCCTCAAAAGATGAGGAGACAAAGTCCGACATAAACATTATATATCAATTACCTCGTCGCCGCATTGCATTATATAATACAGAAATAATTTTAAAATTAGCGATTACGCCTGGAGAAAGTTGATGAACTGAAAGTTTTCAGAAATGTTTCTTGTGGCTCATCTATTTCTATTAGATTAGAGTCACACACTCGTGCACAACATTTTTTTGGCCAAAAATGGCGCCTGCAGTCATCATAATGTAATGAGATATTCATAGATACAATTTATTTGTGGTTAGTTATTTAAATAATACTGTTTGGGTTGCTAAATTTTTATTTCGAAATCGTTAGTTTTTGGTGTTAGTTGTCAAACTTATTCAATAGCACTTTCAGGGTTGGTGATGATCATATCAATAAGAAAAAAATAAATATTCTTAGGAGAAGTGTGGTATTCCCATACAATTAGGTTTTCTCATCGCAGTTTTATGAAGAATTTTTAGGAATTTTTTACCGAAAGTAGACGTGGATTGTCGTAAGCCCATACTATAGCCCTCCGACTTCATTATCAGTATCATCGTATCATCACCTCACCTCTCTCGCCCGCCAAAAATTTGACATTACATCGTTGAATTCAACGATCGTTCCTCCTAGAGTAGTTTTCGTTTCGTTATGGCAAAGTGTAGCGTTTTGAAAATTCCTGGAATTAAGGCGAGTCTGATATTTCTTGTATCATCAATTATGCCCAAATAATAATCCCTACATGTCTTTGAAACAATAATTTACGGACGTTACCATTTTCATTAAAATTACTATGCTTGTTGAGGCGAAGTGACGGCATGCGAAATGCTATTACGAAATAATCCTTAAGTTTACAAACGTATTTTAAAATAAGTGTGATGTCGGTAATCTTAAGCATCAAACCTTTTTTCTCGAATCACCTATAAGATTTAAGAGTTAGAATAAAATCTTGAATGTATACCTTTTTGATATTACTGTCATTAGCATGTAACTTGATGAAAATCACAATGCCTGGAAAACCTATTTCAAAATGGCTTTTAGGTATTAATCGAATTCTAAGTGAACGTAAGTTTATAGAATTTTCTTTGTGCGTGTTGATAAAATTTTATTGTGCTAGGCCGTAATTGATGTCCTGTTAGCTTAATTAGAATTCATAACTAATTGGGATCTGAATGAAATGTCAGGACCTGGAGCAATTTAGATCTCAAATATTTCTTTCCCTGAAAACGAATTTCTTTCCCTTTCTCTCCGTTGATCTTTCCGGCGTTTACGTGTGAGAAAAAAGTTTAATTTAGGCGAAACTTTACTGCTGGAAGTATACATCTGTAAATTTGTCATGGACACGTTATGTAGAAATTACGGGTCAATATAAATGAGTCTGTGCCCGTATTTCGCGGCACTCCTACAACCACGAAATGCACGCAATCACCCTGCACGTAATCACCCTATACATGATCACCCTACACGTAATCACCCTATGAGCTCAAGTACCGAGATTGTAGAATTAACTGAAAATATGTTGGGTAATTATCGATCATATGCATTTGCAATTCCAGAAAAACGTCACTGCTTGCTCAAGTGAAAAATTTATTGAAAAATTAAATTAGGATCAAGTTTGGAAAAATTTAATAAGTGAATTGTGGTTTGAATTTGATCAATAATGGGGGCCACTTAGCATGTACACATAATTGTTGCGTAGATATTAACAACTGCTCGATACTTCCTGGATCACCATTGTTACTCATATTTAAGAGTTTATATAACAAGTTTTATAGTTGGGTGAAGATAAAAAATCATTATAAATAGAAAAAGGCATTACTTATCACGAATAAGATAAGAACTTGTGTAGTAAATTCGACTGTAGTCAAGATCCGAACAGCAATCGAGTTTATCACACTCGTACCTCAGTTTCAATTTGAATATGTAGTAGAAGACATTTTTACGGTAACTCAGGGATAGACTTTCATTAATTTACTTTATGCAGTGTCGAACAAATAATTGTAAACAATTTTGAACCGTGGCTTTAGGGTAATATAATTGCTACCCAATTATCTTAACAAACACGATTTATCATAAGACTTTCTATGCTTCTTACTATGCATGATCATGAATGTGTCTCTTTCTCACCGAATAAATTTCTATCGCCTTGACTTTGTGTAAGTTTCCTAAAAAAATATTATTAATTTGAGAAATATGACATCAGGTAAAGAAGGTTTATAGTGAATTACGCTTTGCCCTTAAGGTATCGTACATTACGTGCGTAAAAATACCTCAGCTAGCGGCAAATTAAGGCAAGTCGACATAATATTAAGCGTCATCATTCGTTCCTGTAATACACGTCATCACCCATTTACTATACTACGCCTTCTAACCAGCTGAGGAATACACGTCATCATCCATTCACTATAATACTCCTTTTATCCAGCTGAGGAATACACGTCATCATCCATTCACTATACTACGCCTTTTATTCAGCTGAGGAATACACGTCATCATCCATTTACTATAATACGCCTTTTATCCAGCTGAGGAATACTCGTCATCATCCATTTACTATAATACGCCTTTTATCCAGCTGAGGAATACACGTCATCATCCATTTACTATAATACGCCTTTTATCCAGCTGAGGAAGCCTGCAGTTAGCATTCAGAAGTAGATATGATGACAAGTGTGGCCAGGGAGAAGACTAACTAAATTTTCAAATAGATACTTGTATGTATTGATATAAAACTTCGTTCCCGAAATTTAACTTGGGTTTCGGTAGTTTTATTAATGAGGAACAAAATTGTTTATTATCTTATCTATGTTTACACATTTTAATAAAAGTTTTATTAAAGACCAGAGAGTAAATCTTATTTACGATTTTCTTTCTGCTTTTCTATACCTACCGAATCAGGCTTTTATGGGATTTGAAAGTTCAACAATAAGATTTCCGAGAGACATTTTATTAGAATTTACGACGTTTTGATCATGCCTTATTCATAATCAAGCTGATGAAGAGTAATATACAATGCTTGAACTTAAATTTAGAAATGACATAAGTACATACAAAGGGTATCGTAGATACGGTTCAAAATCGAAACCTAAATTACAAAATCGAGCCTCTGCTATCGCCAGTCTCGTAGCGTTGGAGCCCCGCATGGCAGTGCCCCAACGGTGAAAAGTAAATCAAACTCTAGATTTATTACAGAAACGAAAAGATAAATAATTTATTCGTGAAAAATAATCCATGTAAAAAGTCCGGACCGCTACAAAAAAAGTATATTATAGATTTTCTCGTCTGAAGAAAGGTTGTAGACTTCTCCATGGCAATAGTTATATGCATAATAGTATCGAAAATATGGTTATACATGCATTAATTATTTTTGGTATCAGTCATCAAAAGATTATCAAGGGAACGTCAGTATAAAGCATTATTCATACTAGAAAAATTACATCAACGAGACCATGAGGATCCTAAACCTGTGTATACGAATTCATTGATAGCTTTCAATGTTGACTGAATAAGGATTAGCTACCGTCAACCAACAAAGGGTTTAAGTTGTGCCAAATTTTGTGTCGCTGGCGTCATACAGCAAAAACATGCTTAGGACGCCATTCATAATGGAATATATATGTTGGAATTGCAGAAATAATTAAATAACATATTCAGGTCGATTCAATCATGAGCGTTGTGCAACACCTTGCACAAGTGCCAAAACAACCATATAATTATTCCCGTACTTCCTCTCTTTCCAATACAAAATACGGTAAATCGTCTGAAAATTTTCACCAGAATTTGTTACTTGTTGGTGCCTTTCACGTCTACGACCATGCAAAACTGAAAAGGGTACTGACGAGAAAGACCAGCTCCGGCAATCTCGGCAGTGTTCGTTACTTATTGGTCCAGTTCAAGTATACGACCATGCAGAACTGGTAGAGGGTACTGATGAGAAAGGTCAGCTCCAGCAATCTCGACATTTGTTCGTTACTTATTGGTCCAGTTCAAGTATACCATGATGCAGAACTGATAGAAGGTACTGATGAGAAAGGTCATCTCCAGCAATCTCGACATTTGTTCGTTACTTATTGGTCCAGTTCAAGTATACCACCATGCAGAACTGATAGAAGGTACTGATGAGAAAGACCAGCTCCAGCAATCTCGACAGTGTTCGTTACTTATTGGTCCAGTTCAAGTATACGACCATGCAGAACTGGTAGAGGGTACTGATGAGAAAGACCAGCTCTGGCAATCTCGACATTGTTCGTTACTTATGGTCCAGTTCAAGTATACGACCATGTAGAACTGGTAGTGGTACTGATGAGAAATACCAGCTCCGGCAATCTCGACAGTGTTCGTTACTTCTTGGTCCAGTTCTAGTATGCGACCATGCAGAACTGGTAGAAGGTACTGATGCTGTCTCTTATACACATCTAGATGTGTATAAGAGACAGACACTGCGTTATATACGCTTCCTCTGTCCACAAACTTACGCGTAATGCAGCTAGTGCTGCTAATGCGCATGCTGTGGTAAACGTGTTGTTTTGTGTCTTTCCCTACCTTTCACATTATTACAGTCGGTCAGTTATTGGTATGCGCTTCGCGCCACTTTTGTTCTACTCTCCGCATTAACATTCTAAAGTTTTTAACTGACCTCGAATTCCACCCATCAATTTTTGCTCACGATTCTATTATTTGCAAAAATGATAATAATAAATAATTATGAGTGGACACTATCATTATTTTTCCAATCTTAAATCTTACTGTAGTTTAAATTTTTTGCCTGTGCATGCAATCATTACGCTGGTCGTAAAATCTACCGCGATCATAAATTATGATTTATTGTCGGCAAGTGCAGTTGAAAACCCTGACCTTGAGTGTCTGCCTCCCGTGAGGCTTCGTAATGGTTTAAGCGTCTCGCCCCCACAGTGAAGCTTGACTCCTGAACTTTTTCAACTATTTTCACTCAAAAGATCTTATTGTTAATGGGATTCGAAATATTATTAGTCATTGACAATCAAAAGCTCTAATCTCTGTTGTTGCGCCTATAACGAAATTGTTATACACAAGATCCCATTGACTAGTGACAAAAACTCCAATCATCAGTGTCATTCTAGTAGAATCCTATATTGTAATGGTCACTAATGGACCCTTATTGGTTTAGAGACATAAAAAAATCCTCTCATTATTTTGACCCAAAGAATCTTGTCATTATTGTGAATCTTAGTGCCATTTTGACTCGCTCGTAACTCATCTTGAATTAACATAGAACGTTTTATGAAAGCAGTAAGCTCTGCATGTATGCCCACGATTGAAATATTTAATCAGGCCTAGACACAGAATGTCGTTGGACTTTAGTTGACTTATAGTTGCTGGGAATCCGGTCTTGGACCCGAGATAATCATGAGGGTAGTTTAACGAGTAGTTTCTACCGATTTTTTTATTGCCCTCCTGCCAGACGATAAATGTTTCTAGACTAAGTCTAAAAACCTAACAAAACCTAATTTTATTTGATAAAAATCGATTGAAAATTGTCATTAATTGTTAATAGACTAAAGGTTCTCTAGTTTGTAATAATTTGGTCAGGCTTCAATTCTTTATTACTCTATTATAATTAAAACTTATAGAGTTGAAGATGAATTTTATGAGGCTGGGATGAAGAAACTATGAGCAGAGAAAGTGAAGCTCGAGTTCATTTGTAATGAATGGTAATGAAAAATTAGCAAGATATTCACAATACTTTTTTCAAATGCTGACCAGGTTACCGTCAGTTTTGGTATTTGAATATTTTTGAAGGCATAAATACTCTTTCTTCTTCATTTTTGGTATATGTCATAATGTGATTTTGTTAACTGAGTGCATTGACTTACTATTCACGCTTTTGGCGGTTGTGTCAATAATTCATGTCATTTTATTCCTAGAAAAACATCTGCACTCATCAAAGATAATTGACAGTAGGTAGCTTATCTGGGACTTCCGAATTGTTTTCTCGGAAAGCTTCGGTGAAAGTGTTCTAGTAATATTCAAGCACAGCAATGATAAAATACATATAGGTTCAACCAACTAATGTGTATGGTGAAGAGTGTTTCACATCAACTTCATCAATCTTTGTCGCTGAACAATGAATAGTGTAATTCCCGAACACTTCAAATTCCACATTTTATGCTTCAACTCAAATGGTTTATAAACTGTAAGGTTTTTTTTTTGTTTCATTCAAGTCGCCTATGTGTCCTGATCGAATTTTTTACAGATTATCTGGGGGATTTTCACATTAATTTGGTTATAATTCGATTCCCCAACGAAATTTTAAGATTAAGAAACATGGTGGCGTTCCGCAAGGTTAACTCAGTTGTCCACCAGCCATTACTGGATAAAAGGCTGATAATTCAGTTCACTATACTCACCTTCACCTTAACGGTCGCTTCTTCGGCGCACAATTGTGGTAGCGTACCAAGTGAGTTTCCGCGTGGAGCGGAGAAATTCAATAACTTTAGCAAGTCATCATGGAAGATGACGATTATTATATGAAGAATTAATATTGAGGGCTAAGTTTCTTATGAGGTCTTGCGTAAATTCATAAAAATCATTTCATAAAGATTTAATTTTGTTATTAAACACTTGCCATGATACCTTTCTCAAGTACATGTACATACAGTATATGTATATAGGGTCTCGTAGAGGTCAACATAAAACCAAGGTCTGATTGAGTTCCCAGCAATATAAAGTGGAAGGATGGAAATTCTAGTACAGCATTTTTACCACGACTTAATTGTGCGAAGCTTCGTTAATTAAATATATTATGTGTTGCAGCTATATCTTCGTCATCACTAGAGCGGTGGGACACTTCTAGACAAGATCCACAATTGGTAGTTGACCTCGAGCAGGAGTTCAAAAAAGATGAACGCACTTTGAACTTCCAGTTCAAAATCAACGGAAAAGTTCTCAAAGTGTCTTTTAAGGACGAGGTAAGCAATGTTCTGTTCGATAATTGATTGTTTAGCTACTCCAGTGAACTGAGGAGCTAAGTATTTTTCAAGGTTCAATCACCATATCTATTTTTTATCAATAAAAATTGAGCTCGGCGTGCTTTACAGCTTGGAGTAACAGTTGGGTGAATAATGACAATGTATCCTTTTGATCAAGATCAACAGGCAAGCGTTTTGCCGATCAACATGTGAACATTGATGCATGGAAACCAGCATTGAAAAATGATTCAGGTAAATATATTGTGAGCATTATATCGTGATCATGGAAAATTGTTTCATCAAAATTAAGCTTAGAGTAGGTCAACACGGTAAGAAATGTCAACGTAAAAGGCAACTACTCCTACTTTCAGTTTTGAGTTGGGCAATTCATCAAGGGAGTCTCCAGCCCCATTACTTTGTGGTTGGATGGCGTAATTCGGAGACAATAGAATCCTGTTATGTGCGATAGCACTGTAACAAATCTGATTTGAATCGTAAACCTATATCTGTCACGACGTTGAGGTGTGCACCATAACGAGAGTTGCCTGCTAAACAAGATTTCGCTACAGTCTGAGCATGTATGGCTGACAGTGGCGTTGAGTCTTTAAAGCCATAATGGAAAACGGTAGTACTTAGGGACGCAGTGTAATCGGAATAACCGTATATGCTGCTGTGGTTCACCAATTTAAAGCTGTGAAATCTGTACCACTATAGACTTCTAATGATAGTTGTCCAAGACAGGCTAAAGCGTAAAGTATATTTGATATTTAAGTATTTGCAGATAATAGACCTGTAGAATGAGTGAGTTGTTATAATATAAACAGTGCAATATAAATTGGGGAGAAATTAGTATGAAGAACGTTGCAGGGTTTATGTCACCAATCATACGAGTAAACTTGGAGTTATTAAAGGTCGTACCCCAAACATAGGCCAATAAAGCTGTGGTGAGTTTACAGGTAATTGAACAAACGAAGAGAGCAAAAGCAAATGGGGCAGTAGTTTCAATGGGTTAAAAATAATTTAATTGTCATGAATAAATTAGGAGTTATGTTGTTTAACAAATAATAAATAAAACGGCATATTAGAGGTGACTACAATATCATCTTTTCCGGTCGATATTCTGGGGGAGCGACGTACGTACCATAGAAGCCAGGGCTTAAAGTGCAATCTACAATATTTCTTGGTATGTTACTGAACCGAGCTTTTACCAAAGCACGTTTTAACTCTGACAATAACAGCGCAATCTATATATTGAATTTTCCCGATTTGCAGTGCACATTATGCTCTTGGAATCCAAAGAACGTTTAGAACTAAGAAAACTTTTTACATTGTTTCATTCTTTTTAGAGTGAGTTACTTCTATGACCGACTGTATTCAGAGTTTGCTGTGTACACACATTTCATCCAGAATGAACTAAAACAAATATGAAGGATGAGAGAATGTCGCAAGAAAGGGCGGAAAGAATTACTAAGAATAATTATTAAGAATTAGAAAGGCTCTTAGTATTCTTAGTTTTTTGAACTTTAAATTTATGAATATTAATATAAACTTGATTTCTTACAGGATGGCGACCACTGTTCGGTTATTTTATTCATCCACACGTCATCCTACTGCCTCTACGTAAATGATGATGCCTGCATCTCACTCTCACTCTACGTCAACACTAATAACTTCACTCACATAACATTGAGGAGTGAGCGTGATGAGCATTCCATGTTGTTGCTCGGAGCCGTTATTGGGGACTTGGGTACCTTAGGTGATGACACCGAGGTTCAAATTTCCAGAAACTCAGAGGAGACAAGCACCGATTGCCCTCAAGGTTAGCCGCATCAGCTTTCAGTTTATATGGTATAAATGGATTACGAATACTACTTTATTCGTACATTACGAATACTACTTTAGGCACGGCCACTTGTTTGCAGGCTCAGAATCATGGGTGCGTTTTCTGTTGACATGATGAAAAGTTGCAACGTTAATATGATACTTGCTTACTCCCAAACATCAATCAATAATATACGTTATCAGCCGAATGTTCATAAGTTACAATAGCAGTGATGTGATTCATATAAAAAATGTCCCTCCCTCATGTACACCTGTGAAGTAACGAACCTTAATATATGAGTAGTTTTACTTTGATTATTCGAAATAGAAAATAGATGGGAAAAAATATGTGACACCAACTAATAAATAATATGTATTTAAAAATACTAAAATATTTTCACTCTGAAATATTTATTTACATTTCATAAATTGAACGTTCAAGGATGAGAATATAACTATTGTCATTTTAATAAATTAATGAATGCGTAGCTACTCGTCGTTTTAATAATCGTGAATTTTAATTTCACGCAGAAATGCTTTAATTCTATTTCAAACACCAGCACGCGCAAGATGCGGATTGGACATTGAAATTTGTGTTGAAGATAGAAAACACAATGGCAATTAAAATTTTTAACTAATACCGCATTGACTAATATTTTTTTTATTTCAGGAAATGCTTCCACAAAGGCACCACCATCATCCATCCCCACTAACGTAGTGGTGCCGGTTGCCGTGTGCTCGGCATTCATCTTAATAATTATTATTATTTTCGTTGTCTTCATGTGGCAGCGTAATAAGTGGAAGAAGAGACGTCATTACAATCAACAGCGAATACTGAACGATCAAGAAGAGCGGCAAAGGTTCTCGCAAACGCAACTGATTAACACTGCACCGAGTGTACCTCCGAGATCGTCATATGATCCTCAAAAAGGTATCAGTATTATTGAAGACGACGAACAGTCGTTGCAAGTGAAACAAGGGCATGAGTATTTGGTAGAATGTGTGGCAGATGTGACTGCGCACCATAAAGTTCGAACGTACTTGCGAGAACAAGCCATGCTAAATTCAAGTGCCACAAACGCATGTATTAATGGTAGGCAAAATTCATCTCGAATAGCGGATAAGAATTCAGTATCATTTTCAAAATTGACTCAAGAAAGACCAAAAAAGTGCGCTTCTAGACAAAAATGTGACAGTAATGAACTGTCGATTATGAATTCCGCGAGAAGAGGTGAAAACCCTCATGTTGCAGGAGACGAAGAAGAGGACGAACAAGGAGGCCACACAGGGCCGTATTGGCATCACTCTCTCAGACAACCTCACTGCCAACAGTTGAAAAATTACAAAGTTTAAGCTCTAAGTTTTTATGCTTTACATTATATTACTTTTGATTGCAGAATGAAGGACTTGAAAATATCCACTAAAATTTTACAATGATTTAATTGATTTTTACTGTGAACGAGATGGCCCGAAGAAAAAATGATGCGAATAATTTCGAATATAAATGGATTTATCTTTACTGTCAAATTACTAACGACGCATTTTAACAGTGTATTTGGGAACGTCTTTCGCAAAAGCGAAAGGTTCTACTAATTAACTATAACGAAAACAAATTCTACATAAATGTAGACTCCGGCTAAAAGTCGACGCCGTTGTAAGCATAGGTGTTTGTTGAAGTTCAGATCCTCATTACTTATTTCATTTAAAAAAATAAAGCTTCCATATATTATTTCGACTTGTCCAATTATTTTTATTGAGGTTTTTTAATCAGGAAAATAATAATAAAATAAATTAATTGTCAGCAAGGGAGTCTTTCTGGTTAATCTTTACATCGCCATTTTATATGTCTTTGAGACTAGAATTAATATATAGATAGTCAAATTTCTGGTCAATGTGTGGTAAACATACTTTGTAAACACTTACGTGATTGTATGGTTTGGTAAGCATATAAACTATTCAACTTTTTTAAATACCATGACACGTATATCCACAAAAATGTACCCAAAATTTATTGTTGTTCAAATGGCCTGTGAAAAATATCTACGCTTCCATATTTAAAGGAAATAATTTATTCTTTATGCTGTTTATTTATCCTGAAACAGAGACGTCGAACAGCCATGCATGGGAAGGGAAAGAGTCAAAATGAAATTTAAAAATGCCGTAAAAATTTCTTGAGCTTTGAGCCCTACAATTATAATTAATTTACCCTAAAAATTCCCAAATCAAAAGGCCAATTAAGTGGAATGAATTCAATCTGTACGGACGTCTACTTCAAGAATGCATCTAATATCAAAATTCGTTTTAGTCTATCAAATGTGCTTTGATCGGAGAATGATGCTCCGTAATATACCAAGAAATAACAGCTCTCTTCGCTCAGAAGACCGCCAGCTGTCTTCGAGTACGTACATCGTAGGAGGCTATATATATATAGGAGGCTCAACAGTGTATCTCCGAAGGGATATTATTAATGCCAAGCACATTCCTTCGGTTTATTTAGATAAGGAAACATAGATAGAACAAAAATTATATTTCAGCTTCGTGGAAAGTGAACTTAACTATATACTGGCGTAAAACACTGTCATAAAACTCGATACTCCAGAAATTATAACGGACTTTTGGCCGCATTAAAGCGAATAAATTTCTAGGTTGGGGAGAACGTTTGAGTTGAATTTAAAAAGTTAGGAATACTAATTGTAACTTCGAAACGGCTGAACTTGATTAGAGAGGAGTTTTGTCTCGAATGGTTTGGAAATTTATAACGATATTGAAGATTTTGGGATTATTTGTTCGATCGTCAATTGCTTTGATTCTGTCAGGTTGGTTTCCGTAGTGGCTTACTTTAGGCGCGTATGTAGTTTTAAGTTCTCGTATGAAAAGGTTACGACGTTACGGCAAAAAATCGTACAAAGAAAGGGTTGCAATGAAACACTGGTACATTTCATATTAAATTGGGAAATACAAGTTCACATCCTGCGTTGAAAAAATCTCTAGTATACATGAAAAAGAAAGTCTGAACACAATCAAAGTCGAAAATCTATCAGTTCTCCTCACTCACTCATTACCAGAAATTACCAGAAAACGTTGATTCGTCGCAGTTCCGTTGAGTAGTACGACTGTCGTAACGGCCGTAATGCACGCACACGTTTGCGGCACTACCGCAGCCGTTGCCGCGCGTCCCTTTTCACAGTAAAGCATTCTTCATAGCCGTATTTCCCGCACTTACATTGATGTCTCACTGCCGGTCTAACCGTAGAATTTATGACGACCGTACTTCTGAATAGTGGTGTTCATTTTCATTGTCGATGATATTACTCCAAGCTCGTTGCCGTAGTTTTGCTGTTGGTGATAGTGATCGCACCGCTTCTTCTGATGAGAATTGTGACCGTACTGTGCTGATGACCGTACCGAATGAGAATTGTTGCGCAGTGCTCTATACTGGAATCTTCATGATTGCCGGTGTTATTATCGTTGGAAGTCTCGAGGCCTCTCGCGTTGCCTCACGGCAGAGTCACAGCCGCAGCAATAATGCTGACCGTACATATGTGACGAAGTCGTGGCCTTTTCTTGCATATTTTTGACGCGCTCACAGCAATCGTTGCTGCCTCGATGAGTCCAGTTTTCTCGCGACCGTCAATGCTTGAAACTGCGAAACCGACGGCCTCGCGGCCGCGGCCGTCACATCAACCTTTGGCGCGAATTTTAGGGCACCAAGGACTACTACACACAGGACATGCATAGCCTATGTCCAGCCTCTGCTAGCAGAGGCGATCGCCTACACTATGAAAATGCTGTTGTTTTAGTGGCATCAACATTGATACGTGTCTCGATGTTGTAGGATGATATTTGTGGGAGGAGATAGATTTTCTGAAGTACCCCTTTTTAGCCGTTTTCTATGAATTTCACGTTTTCTATCAATTTTTTCGAAAAATTTATAGGAGCAAAATGTTTTTTTTTACATTTTACGTATGTATGTGAAGTTTCATGACAATCGGATAATAACTGTAGAAGTTTTCCGTATGCCCGGTCGGTCCCCTTAAGCCTACACCTCGAAGGTACACCGCATTCCTCGACCTGGAATTTCCCTCGCTCTGAGCTCGCCAACGTTCTTTGAAAATCGTTGCAACCACGGTCTCGAACAATCGTTTGCTCATTTTTGTGCGATCTCAATATGTGTGAGGCAGTAATTTGGTCAATTTTGGCATTGTGCCTTGTTAAAAAAAGATTGTATCATTTAGGAAATGCAAGGAATCAAAGTACAAGAAAAATGGCTCGTGGATATAATTTTCTCCAGCTCCAGATCGAATCGATTTATTAATTTTTCCCAATTATTTACGGTAAACATTCCTCAAATTATTAATTTTCTTTACATGCGCCTCCATCGATTTCTTTAAAATTTTCTACTAAACTCTCATATGCTGATATACCTCCACCTTTTTGTCCCTATTACTATAGTCCTTGGATTTTACTCGCCAAATGCAAGGAAAACTTTCGTACAGAGCAATAAATTCCGGAGAACATAGCCGAAAGTGCGCCATTGTCGCCAGACCAATTGAAACTGGCAAAAATTGAATCTGAAACCTCGCAGTTCATCGAAATCTATTCTCTGGAGCTCAGATATTGCTGCAACTCAAATATCGCTCAAAACCGCGACGTTTTCCCGTCCACGCGCAACGTTTTGAACAGCGCAGGCAAATAGTTGAGTAAATCTGAGCATGTGGACAGGCCTTTATTTGAGTCGTTGGCTCTGCTCGTGGTTTGCGTCAAATGACACAGCCGCGGACCATATTTGGGATCGCAATTCCTTGTCGTTTAGTTTTGTTGTGATAGCTCTGCTTTGTCAGCTCGTGTCGTCTCACAGTGGAATTATCTTCATGCCACTTCCAATGCCGGGTAAAGACGAGGATTACTCGGATCAAAATCAAGGCAAACTTTCAAATATTTTTCGTTGTTAACGAATATGAAAGTTATAAATTTCCTGGTCCAGAGCTAATGTATGAATGTGCTCTGCGCTCTGTTCAATGAACTCCCGTTGCTTTCTATTCTTGTTCCCTCTTTGCTGCATCACTCTTCGAAGCAACCTATTCGAACTCTGACGTGCAAACGTATTACCATGCAGCAAGAAGCCTAAGCTCAAAGGAAGAAGAAGAGGCGAGACTCGCGTCATTCCAATCAAAGCTCTGCGTCCATGCATCGGTTCACTTGGCGTTAATCATGACAAATCATTTTCATTCTTTAGAGTCCGTCTCTATTAAGCGTGGAAAGCTGCGCTCCTTTCTGCCCTTCGATAGTTCCCCGTCTGTTGCGTTACGTCTACCGTATTGTCTCGCAGGATGAAACATTCCACATGCTCATATTATTTAAGCATGTGGAACCTCCCGATTTTGTGCAGAAAATTGATTGCCCTAGACCCACAACAGTGACGGATTTACGCAATTTTTAGGATTGGTCAATTTTTAGAAGTAGTTCCTGTACCTGTGTTCAGTGATTGCCAAGCCTTTTCTGGCTTTTAACGGAACTAAAGCAGCTTTCACACAGGGCGACAAATACCGCGCGTGTCAAAAATACCGCGGCGGTATTTACCGCGCAATCTTTCACACGAGGTGGTTTTGAAAGTTGGAATCTATGTCTTGCAGCGCTGTTCTCCGCAAATGGGCCTGACTGTGTCTATTAATGGCTGCTCAGAGTAAAGAAAAGAAGGCTCTCCTTTAATACTTGTATAAAAGACAGCAAAGGAAAAAAAGAAGGCGGTGCTGGATTCATAATATAGTAAATTTAAGGCCGCAAGAAGGAGAATTTGCCTCACTGTTTGGAAGGCAACGTTCACAAACTTGTCATTACAAAATTAATTCATTACTCATTACATTCATTAACAAGGAGAAATAAGTTTAATTATCCTTACCTCTTTCAGTAGCTGGAGCTGCATACACCCTCGCCGACCCACAGTTTGTACCACAATAGGTAGTGGCGTCGGTGGAAAAACCGCACAGTGTGAGAGATTACATTGAATATACCATTGCAAGCTAAACTGTCGCGGCAAAGCTACCGCCGCAGTTTTAGCAGGAAACATTCGGACGTCAGGCGTCAAATTCTATGCCTCTTTAAATGCCGTCGTGTGCGAACAGCAGTGCACACTTCGTATGTCCGCTAAGGTTCGGCGGTAAATACCGTCGGACGCTGGCGGTATTTACTGCCGCGTGAAAGGGGTTTGGCCCCTTTCACCCTTTTCAATGTAATCCTTCACACTGGGCGGTTTTTCACGCCGACGCCATTACCTATTGAGGTACAGACAGTGGGTCGGCAAGGGTGTATGCAGCTCCAGCTACTAAAAGAGGTAAGGATAATTAAACTCATTTCTTCTTGTTAATGAATGTAATGGGTAATAAATTATTTTTGGAAAGACAAGTTGGTGAACGTTGCCTTCCAACAGTGTGGCAAATTCTCCTTCTTGCGGCCTTAAATTTACTATATTGTGAATCCAGCACTGCCTTCTTCTCTTCCTTTGCTGTCTTTTATACGCAGCAAGTATAAGAGCCTTCTTTCCTTTCCTCTGAGCAGCCATTAATAGACACAGTCAGGACCACTCGCGGAGAACAGCACTGCAAGAAACCCCTTAGTTAAAAAGTTCCAGCGTTAAAAACCGCCTCGTGTGAAAGATTGCGCGGTAAATACTGCCGCGGCATTTTTGCCGCCCTGTGTGAAAGCTGCTTAAGGCTTTCAATCGAGGCAGC